AATTTTCACATGCAGATGAGGCTACTGAAAATACCATGGCTTGGGTCAGGTGCACCTTAGTCCTCAAAGTGACATCTTTACTGTTGAACACTTAAAAGAAGTCTTGGGCAGTAGATTTGTTTAATGCAATACATCCTTTAAATTCTTGACGACTGCTTCCATGAGTGTTGATGGTTGATCTGAGCAAAATGAAGTCTTGGACAACTTCAATCTTTTCCACATTTACTATGGTGCTATTTATAGGTTCAGTGGTGAGGATTTTAGTCTTTGATCTTCATTAGTAAGTATTTTATGTCACCTTTGCTTTCAGCAAGCAGTAAATTTGATAATCTCAAGAGATTTCCAAACTCTCCACATCTGAGCATAAAGTTTCAAAATATAACTTGCTGTGACATCTGATCTACTCCTAACATTGATAACCAGTTGAGCAAAACCCAGAAACAGTTTTAATTGCACATTTGCTTGAAATAGGAGTTACTGATAAAGCTGTTGTGTTTTAAAGAGGTGAAAAGCATAGAAAAAGGCACATGACTAATAATTTTAGAATTAACTTCTCTTATCTTCATTTTAGAAAAGTTATAGCTGAGAACTTCTATATTTCTAAGTCTGGTGATATTTTGTAAACCTAAAATGTCAGCACAAGAGTTTTGGTGTAACTCTCTGGCTTAACACTTAAGTAACTTGTTCTGATAAGAGAAGAACAATGGGGCAATCTAGTCACATGAGCAAGGGACTTTCTTCTCAAAGCTCTTTGAATGCTTTCTGGGCATCAACAAAAGGTATGATAAGCAAAGGAATGTAATCTGTGTCAAGTTTCCTTATAAGGTTAGTGTTTCTGCAGTTAGCAGCCATCACTATTGCTCAGTGATTACTACATTTTGTTTGGCTTTATTAAACGGTCCATAATTAACAAAAGAGCAGAAAAGCTGGCTCACCATTTACTTTCTTAGCATTTCATCTTTTTTTTAAAATAGTTATTGCTATTTAAAAAAAAAATATGAACGCAATAATATGCTTTAGTAAGCATATTATTAAAATGATATTTCATATCATTTTAATAATAATATGAATGCAAATATGCTTTAGTAAGCATGTGAACACAAAAAGACATGAAATGTTGGGGCATGATTTAATAAGGCCATGAAACAATAAGTAATATTCCTACCTAAAGGCAAATTCACTACTGATAAGGTTGTTCCTCCAGCCCCAATTCCTTCCCTACATGTACAGACTGCTTAACAAAAAGATTTTGTGTGTTTGGTCAATCAATCAGATTGATGTCTCATTTATGGCACTTATATGGGTCTGAACTAACTTGACGGCACTTCACAACATTGTCCAAGAAAGACCAGAAAGAGGGGTTTCCATGGGATATAAGGTCAGGACAGTTCTTGAGGAATAGAGGAAGCCCTCTCCTGTTGTAGGGGGTTCAGACTATAAGCATAGTCTTATAGCTTTGTAGCCCTATCTTATTCAAAAGTAATATATTCATTCTCAGTCCCAAACTGAAAATCTTCTGGTAAGTTCTGCCTGCCTTTGGCGTCGCCTTCAATTGCAATGAACTAACTGTGAAATAAAAGTTCTATATTAATACATACGTTTCTGTGGCAGGATCATAAACTTCACAGGAATTCAGCACTCTTCCAGAAACATTGTTCCCTAAGCTTCCGCCACAGACATAGATGAGGCCATTGGCTTCCACCATCCCATGGCTGCAGCGCTGAGTCAGCATGCTGGGCTTCGTGTGCCAACTCTCAGTTCTTGTATCGTAGCACTCAAAGAGATACAGAGCAGAGTTTCCTGTAAAAGAAAAGGGACCCTCGTTGCTAAACTGTGTGTGTGTGTGTTAATGTGTATGTGTGAGAGTGGAGGGAGGGGGAAGGTTTAGAGCCAACGCTGAATCATGATTTGTATCAGGGAAGGATTGAGGGTTGTAAAATCAGATTTATACTCAATCAACATTTGTTGTTGTTGTTAAGTGTTGTTGAGTCAATTTCGACCCATAGAGACCCTGTATAGGGTTTCCGAGGCTATAAATCTTTACGGGAGCAGAAATCCTCATCTTTCTCCCGCAGAATCGCTGGTAGTTTCGAACTGCTGACCTTGAGGTTTGCAGCCCGATTCGTAACCACTACACTATCAGGTACCCACCCCCCCCCAAAAAAAAAGTCAGAATGGTTTTTCAAAATGTACATATTCTTACTTCTCACTTACAGAGAAAAAGCTAACTTCATTTGTACTGCTGTTCAGTGCTGTCAAGTTGGATCTGACTCATTAGGGACCCTGTATAGGATTTCCAAGGAGCTGCTGGTGGGTTTGAACCACTGACCTTCTGTTTAACACTCTAGAGCTTATTCTACAGCATCACACCTGGACTCCAAACCCCATTTGTAAAGATCCTGGAAAGTATTACTTAAGGATCTATTGGAAAGGCTTATTTACTGGTAATTCAACTTAGGAAGAAGAAATTGATTTCAAAAGAAATAGTAAATGAGAAAGTATAAAATGAAGAAATTGAAGATTTTACCAACTTTTGTAGAATGAAATTGATCAAACATGCATCAAGACACATTGATAATTACTGGTGATTGTAAGGAGAAAGTTGGACACAGAAGATTCAGTAGTAGAAAAATAAGGCCTTGGTGACAGAAATGATGGCGATCACATAATAGAATTTTGTTGCAAGAACAACATCTTACTCATTGGAAATTACTTGAAAAGATGAAAAGCTATTATTTGTCTAGTCTTTGCCTAGAACATTCATTTAGGAAGAAATTGCCACTGGATACGTGACAAATTATCCATTAAAGAGAAAAATTTTCAGACAACACACTCGGTTCTGACCAATAAGTATAAAATACTACTGTCAATCATTACATTAAAAAGTTAAAGAAAAGAGCAAATAAAACAAAAATCATTCTTACTTTTTTTCTGACAGAAAGGAAGGGTAAAACAGAATTTAAAAGATTAAATGTAGTGAACAGTCTATGAATAAGTGACATTCTGAAATCTTTTGAGTTCTGGCTTTCATTCTCTGGTTTGACAATTAATTATATAATGATATAATGTAGGAGTTCTGTAATGATCCCCCCAGGATGTGATAAGAGCATTAAGGGAAGGATTATTGTTGTTAAGTGTTGCCAAGGTGATTCTGACTCATAGTGATCCTGTATAGGGTTTCCTAGGAGTGTCTGGTGAACTTGAACTGCCGATCTTACGATTCAAACTGACCTTGCAGTCCAGTGTTTTAATGCACAGTGCCACACAAGGACACACCACCTTTAATACCATCACAACCATGATCTAAGGGAATTTCCCTTTTGTTGTCGTCAAGTACTGTCAAGTTGGTACTGACCCATTACAATCCTGAAATAGGGTTTCCGAGGAGTGGCTGTTGAGTTTGAACTGCTGACTTTGTGGTCCAAACCACCTTGAGGTACAGTGCTTTAACCCTTAGTGTCCACCAGGACACACTTCTTTTATCTTTGTTGTTGTTGTTGTTAAGTGCTGTCGAGTCGATTCCGACTCATAGCGACCCTGTACAGGGTTTCCAAGGTTGTAAATCTTTACGAGAGCAGAAAGCCTCATCTTTCTCCCACGGAACAGCTGGTAGTTTTAAACTGCTGACCTTAAGGTTTGCAGCCTGATTCATAGCCACTACGCTACCAGAGCTCCTTATCTTACAAGAGATTAAAAAAAGAGAGACACCAACAGACATAAAGGGAACTGCTATCTATCGCCAAGAAAGAAGAGAAGCCAAGAATGAAGTGCATCCATTGAACCTGGGGTCCCTGCACTGAGAAACCCCTAGACTCAGGGCACAATCTCCAAAGCATGCCATGCTGAAAGGAAACAAATACCTTCCCTTGAAGCTGGTGCCCTAAATTTAGACTTAGACTTCCTATGGTTTCACCCACTGTACCACACCAGGACTAAACTGTGAGCAAATAAATTTCTGTCTGTTAATCCCACCATCCATTTGTGGTATTTCTGTTATAGCAGCAGTGGAGAGCTAAGATGTATCTAAAACAACCCATCTAACGCAGATGGTGTCAAATAATGTTGCATCATTCTAAAAAATGAACCAGTAACATAATCTAGGAAGTAGAAATCCTTATAAATTACTGGTTTATAAAGGAGTCAGGTTAGCTTGTAGGAAATGGGTTCTAAAATGTGACATACATGCATTTACATGGTGTAGAAAACATCTGGACAAATTACACCAAATGTCTACTTCAATAAGAGAGCCAAGACTTTGGCTTTAAAACACTTTCCCGAAACAAAGATACTTACGAAGTCCTTACCTACTTCTGAGCCTCCAGACGTGTAAATTTTGCCTTCTGCAGCACAGGCAGCAAGGCTATCTCGAGGTGTCGGAGGGCCCAGTTTGGAATACCAGCTATCCTTCACTACATTGTAGCAATCCATTCGCTTTATGGGGAAAAGCTGAGAGCCACCCAGAATGTACACTACATTGTCCCAGAACACACATGCAGCATCTCTTCGTTTTTCAAAGGGACAGCGGATGTCTGTCCAGCTATAATCCTGCAACAGGAAAGGACAGGAAGCTTTCAGTAAGGAGGAAATATCATTGAAAAAGACAAAGCAAAGATATAGTGAAGAAAACATAAAATATAAGAACGTGTTAACTGACCAGAGTTCTCATTAAAATGTTGGCTAATCAGGGCAGAAAAGAAGGGATGAGGGAGAAATACAATTGCTTTGGGTCCAATCTGGCTTTAAAATGAACTTATATACACTTAGTAAATGACCACCAGTAACCTGTCTTCTGGAGTCCTGGTATGGCACTGTAGGATGAGCATTGGACTGCTAACTACAAGGTTGTTGGTTCAAACCCACCAGCCACTCCTTGGAAACCCTATGCAGGGTTGCTATGAGTCAGGATTCAACAAGGGCACTTAACAACAATGGTCTGTCCTCTATTTCTTCTGTTATTGAGGATATTAGTACAAGACAATTTTAAAGTAAGCAATTATATATTTTTTAAAGCTTTTTCAAATGTAAATATCTACATCCAAATGAATATATGTAATGCTGCTGTTGTTAAGCACTGTTGAGTTGGTTCTCACTCATAGTGCCCATGAATGTGGTTTCTAAGGAGTGGCTAGCAGTTTGAATCACCTGACCTTGCAGTTTAAACTGACCTTGAGGTTCAGTGCATTAATCATCAGCACGACGCCACTGTTAAACTGCCCTTATCCTACTGATATCTGAAGGTAAAACAAAATGCTTGTGGAGTTCTTTGAAGCGTCTTTTGTAATATTCAGTTTAGTCAACCTTGAGTGGTATGGATACTTATTGTAGGCTCATCCCGTTACATTAAGAGCTAGTCACAGGACCCTTCTGTTTCCTGTTTGATGACAATAAGGACGCCTGGGCCCTTCGCCCAGGTATAAGCATATAAGGGACTACTCTCAAAGTTAAAGCATCTTAGATTTGCCACTTTTTTGAGAATGAAAGTTAAAAGTATTTCTGCTGCTTTCTGAATATTTCTGAGTAAGTCACACAGGAATCCAAACAATCCCAATTACACCCAAAAAAGCAGTATGTGTAATTATTTAAGAGTTCCCTTGGGAATTTTGTTGTTGTTGTTAAGTGTCATTGAGTTGACTCCGACCCATAGTGACCCTGTATAGGGTTTCCAAGGAGCAGCTGGTGAGCTTGAACTGCCAACCTTGCAGTTCAAACGGCTTTGCAGTCTGGAGTATTAACCCACCGCACCATCCTAGTATTGTTGTTGTTGTGAAGTGCCGTCACGTCGGTCCAACCCATAGCAACTCTGTATAGGGTTTCCGAGGAGCGACTGGTGAGCTTGAACTGCTGACCTCACAGTTCACAAACAGCTTTGCAGTTTGGTGCATTAACTCACAGCGCCACACCAGGACTCCTTCCCTAGTATTATAATACCCTAGTATTAGTATACTAGCGTAGTGGTTACGAATCGGGCTGCGAACCTTAAAGTCAACGGTCCGAAACTACCAGCTGCTCCGCGGGCGAAAGATGAGGCTTTCTACTCCCGTAAAGATTTACACCCTCGGAAACCCTGTACAGGGTCGCTATGGGTCGGAACCGACTCGACGGCACTTAACAACAACAACATAATACCCTAGTATTAGGCATCCATTAAGTAAGATAAAAGTATCAGAGAAAATTAAGAGATATTCTTAATTTTCTCTGATACTTTTAGAGAACTAAAAGAAAAAGTTGTCTTTCCTTTCATTTACCCTGAATGAGCCCCTAACTGTACACTATTATCCTGACTCCAGATGACGATGAACATTCTGCTTTTTAGGTGACCAGGAAAACAGATCCTCAGTCCCTTACAATATCATTTCTCAAACTCAGAGCTATGTGTTCTACTGGACTACTTACTCAGTGCTTTACCTACTGGAGGCACACAAAACTATAGGATAAACTGGACATCTTCCTGAAGCTTCAGTTTTACACAATGGACATTCGAAATTGGGGAAAGTATTTTCACTTGTTCTGTAGAACTTGTAATTCCTCCCTGGCCACCATCATTACTACAGAAAATACAATTTCATAAGAAATGCACACTATTAACCTAGTCAGTCTCAAGTCTTGTCACTTTTATAGCCAATTTATTTAAGGTATTTATTTTTAGAGATCAATATGGGAGCTTCTCTGTTGACTTCTAAAAATATTCTTGATAAAATTGTTTTTATGTTCATCAGTAATTTTAGGATGAGGAAGTTGGTCATACGAGGGGGCTTTAAAAAGTTCATAGAAAAATTCCATTATCTTTTAATTAGATTTTTTTCACACATTTTTGAAGCCCCCTTGTATATTCTTAAATGATCTCCAAGGCCTGTTCTTCAAATTTAAAAGTACCCATGTAGGAGCTGGAAATAAAAAAAAAAAAAAGAAAGAAACAAAAAACATGTTTTATTTTTTGCTAGATGTCCTTAAAGATTCAGGTGTTAGGGTATGAGTCTCCAAAGAATTATATAACTCTAAAGAATTTAGTATCAAAATAGTTTTTCCTACTACTCAGTAGAGTTACGATAGAGAATACTTGCTCATATGCAAACTGTCATTTAGGGTTTGCTTAAGTTTCAGATTTAAGCATTAAATTGCTCTTTAAGAAACAGAAGTCCAAGGAAACAAATGACTCACCTGGAATTATATGTGTGATATGATACACAAGAATAAGCAAATGTTTCTACCTACTTGCAATTACTAGAAAATATCAAGTTTTTCAACTCTAAATATTGTTAATGTTTATTATACAGGTCAGATACTACTAAACTCGATAAATACTAATTACAGTATTCTGCCTAATTTTGTAGACAGAGAAGCGAAATGTTCTTTGCAAGAATTCCTACCAAATATAAATAAAAATGTAGAATATAAAAAAAAAGAATACAAAAAAAAATTCCTTTCAACTAAAATGTGATGTTTTACATTTGGATTCACTTGACTACATCTGTTTAAACATATCTGGCATTGGGTAGGGAGAGTGGGGTGGAAATATAAATGATTACTTGTTTCCTGCCTCAAAGGTCCACCTAATTCCTCCAATCTACCCCTCATCCAAAGTACAGTACTGAGACGGTGATTTGATGTTTGACTTTTGATAACTGGTTGTATAGCCCAGGAGGTTAACACGTGCAGTGCAGGAAGTGAGAGGACAAGGGGAAGCAGAGATGCGAGAGGTCAGGTCTATCAACTGAGTAGTAGAATGGGACCACCTCCAACTTGTGGCAGATGTGGAAGGAAGGTTTACTACAGTCCCCTGAATTCCTAGGCTAGAGCGCAAGGTAGAGGAACACACACATTTATGTTGGTGGCAAGATGGAAGGATAGCACTAGAGTTTTAAACTGGGAAGCATGGAGATACACACACACACATACAGATGGGGGGGGGGGAGAAGAGAATTACTGAAAATAAAATTTGATTCATTAAGCTTTATTATCTACTCCATACAAGATTCTGTGCTTCGGTGATGAGAAGACATGAACGTGAGAAAATGTGACAGCTTGGAAAACACATGGATAGAAGGATTTTCTGAGTTTTGACACATCACCCATGTACACTCTCACCCACAGGCACATGCAGACACATCCATGCTTAAAGTCTGGCTTCCTTCCTTGACCCTTGTCAGCGACCCCCACCCCCACCCCCATTTTTCTGCCTCTGCTGTGGTAGTCTGTACCAGACAGTCTGTAGTTTTTGTTCTGTTTTGTTTTTCCAAACTCAAGACTCCTCTCTTTCCTTTTTGTAGGCTGAATCTCTACCACATGGAAGCCCAGACATGAAGACTGAGCACTTACTTTATCCTAGCTTGCTGTGTCTGGTTCTTCGGCTGTAGTGCAACAGACCTTATTGCTCTTAGGAGAACATAAGCTTCTTGAGGTAAGGGGCTGTCTTATTTCTCAGGCAAAAAACATCAGAGTAAAGACTCTATTGTCAACACACATGGATCCTCAATAATTAAATAGATAACTTAATAAAACCAATAGACTTTTTTTATTTTTAGGTCTTGAGAACTTTATTTTTGATCACTCTGGGAGGAAACCAGGCGAAACTAGAAAAGGCAGACTCACAGAAAAAGGGAAAGTGAAATTAGTAAAATGGGAAACAGCAGCAAACAAAACTCTTAGAGAAACCACAGGGAGTCAATCCAACTTGAACTTAAGATACTAAAGTTATAAGCACTTCCTCTTAAGGAATTTTCTGATTTATCTCAGTTTCTAAGGACTGCTAAAAAAAGAGAAAAGCATGAAATTATGCTGATAACCAATACAGGAAGCAGGTGGATGCCAGATGCTACAACACTTCTAGGAGTTTCATGAAAAATACGTATAAACGCTTTTGACCTCCTTTATTTCCTAAGGTCAGAAAGAATGTAGCTCAAAGGGAGCAGGAAACTTGGGCATCAAGCTAGTGTCTGCACTGAGGGCTATAGGTCTTTTAGTCAACTTGCTTCTCAGGTACTTTAGTTTCCTTCTCTGTAAAAGGACAACTCAGCCTGATGATCTCAGACGCCCTCCTACCGCTAACAAAACTGTAAGTCCAATTCTCTTAGGGTCTAAATGATTTAGAAGTAACACTAAATAAATGGCTATTATTAACATTATCAAGCACTTCATGCATGCTACTGAAATAATACAAAACATTTAATTTCTGCATTAACCCAGAAAGTAATGCTGTCATTTTACAGATAAAATACCAAATTTTAGAGATGTTAAGTACTTTTTCAAAGGTTACATAAGTCAAAAGTGGTGAATTCACTCCAAGGCTGTGTTGTTGACCTCTACACTGTCTGCCTCTCTGACCTACCTCAGAGAATGCTGGACTGGGGGTACAGCTGTCTGGGTTCTCCTGTCCTCATCTGTAAACTCAGGAGGCTGACAGGACAGTGAAGGGGGAAAAGTGGTGGTGGTAGGGGGAGAGCGGGGACTAATTTGTCTTTTCACATATAAATATGCTAGAAAACCTAAGTGGGGCAGGGAGGAATTTACTTACAAGTGAACTGAATGAAGATTAAAGAAACAAAATG